GCCGGCCCTTGAAGCGGGTCCAAGGGATCCACTGCTAGAAAATATATCCAGTAGTGATAGATTCCCTTTAAAACCAACAGGGGCAAAATAAAAACATACTCATTTCAGCACCCGGAAGTCATTTTGGTTCGCCCTCACTTCCACAGAGTCAGACAAGTCCAGTGTTTTGAAATACCTCTCACATGATGTTCCCCCCTCGATGAAGGCCAGACATGGGGGAAGTGACTTCGGCGTTTCGGCTCGGCGCGTCAGCGCCCTCTTCGCTCAGAGGGCATCTCTTGCGCGGCCTGGCGGCGGCGAGGCAAACCCACAGCCGTTTCCCTGAAACTCTGAAATGAGAACGAGTATGGTCATGGAAATAGATGGGTTTCCCTGGTAGATGATTAAACCACCAAGTAAACCAGGGTCATCTATTTGTCTGCCAAAACAACCAAAAAGGACACCTATGAGTATGGTTCTACAGACGGACAGACGGACAGGCAGGCAAGCAGGCAGGAGGCAGGCAAACACAACGAAGAATCAAGATCTACCTTTGTGTGCTCTTCCGTGCTCTTCCGGCAACACATGAGACGTGGCCTTGAACATGTCACAGAAAAAAGAACATGTCGATATGTTGCAAAAAAGGGATCATCCAACCAACCAAAGTTGGCCAGACTGATCCATGGTCTCAGCCTGCCCTGCCCTTCCCCAAAACCCCACGAAAAGGCGATGCCTGCTGATTCATGATACCTGGGGTCTGTTGGTGAGCGGAAAAAATCCAGGCCGTGCGCTTGAACAGTGCTCTGCGCATAATGGCCAGCACTTGAAGGAGCACAAAGTGATTGTTAACGCAGCTTGTAACCCAGTTGAATCAGCCTATGATTAGTAAGCTCCAAGCACGCCCTTTTGCCACTTGCAAGCCCGAGCAAGCAGCGACCGGAAATTTCTACCAGGGAAAGTGGTTCAAGCCACATCAAAAACACGTTGAGTTTCCTGTAGAGTTTCCTGGTTGGCTTTCTTCGTTTGGCCACCGATCCCAAGTGTCTGCCACCTTTGTCGGGGGGGATTGCTGCAGGAACCTTGGAATCTCCGAATGAGACATGGACGGAACCATCCAACGGGCGATTTCCGTAGGGAACAGGTTCATAAACCTTTGGGTTGTTTCAAAACATATCCTGACCTCCAGACCAAACCCAAAGACATAATATGACAGTTAAGCCTAAGTAAGGGCTTGCTTCCCCCTTATTTACGCTGATTCTTGGCTTCTCCTTCAGGGGTATGTTCCAGGGTTCTGGTGGCACAACCTTTGAACTTGATTGATTCATAGAGAGGGCGTCCCTTTGAAGAGAGAAACCTGCACTTGTTTTAGAAAATGAATGGCACGGGATTGAACAACTCAAGTTGATGCTGCCATCTATCTTCAAACTCACCCAACAAGGACACCTGAGTCCGTATTTGTTTGAGGGTACCCTTTTCTTAGATTGGTTTCAAAGGGAAGCCAAAAGGAAAGCCGCCATTTCGGAGACCTAACTTGACACATGCCGACCTATGCTCATGATTGCAGTTCCCCATGGACCATGGAAGGTGTCGCTGACTAGAAAACTGCTCTGCGTCTACTTGAACGTCCTCAAAACATACTGTGGATGGACAACATCCAGATGAAGCCTGTGAGTACTAGAAGCCAACTGGTGCCTGGCGACTGTATGGTAAACTCTGAATGGAAAGAAGAACCAAATGGCGATGTCTCAAAACCTCCGTCGGAATCCAATTCTCCCCGTTATACTCGCAGGCGTTTAGACGCCCTCCCGTCCAGAGACACCCGGCCTTAGACCGTCACCTCAGATGCAGCTCGAGGGTTCCAGCGGCTTGAGGTTTCCTTCTGCCGCACAGAGGCGCAACCACCCCTAACCAAAAGCGCAACGCTGGAACCCGACGTTCTAGCCGTCTCGTGCGATTCAAAGATCCTTCTCTTCACAAAACGGTCTTGAATCCTGGAAAATGTGTAGATGGTGAAGAGGATGAGGAATCAACCCTTCAATGGGGATCGTTCCGGAAGAACATGCGAAACATGTGCGTGGATTCTGCAAGAGAACGGGGCAAAACCATTTCAGACCGATTCGTGGTGGGCCAGTCAGCAACAAAAGCACTGAGTACGAGTCTTGACAATTCACAGCCAAACTAGGCCACTCCCTCAAATCGGCCCGGTTTCTCTTCCGTTTCCTTCGCACAGGCCCAAAATGTGTACCATCACGGAGAAATGCCAAAACCAAAACAGCGGTCTTCAAACATCACCTTCGCAAAAAGGACGGCACAACCAAAAAATCGGGTCGAAGACACCAAAACGGGGGGGATCCAGACTCTGCACCTAGGTCCAGTAGAGAGATTAGAGTAAGGGTACCAACTTTTTTCTGTAGGCGGACCCTCCCCAGAAAAAGTAACGGTAACAGGGCACTACTGGAAGACCTAGACACCAACGACTCTCGGCGAAGGATTCGCTGCGCGTTGGGGCTCCCGGCGGACTTGGGCCCATCGGCCGCCGCGGAGGCGATGTGCATCGAGTACCCGGCCGCACCTGGCGGGGCGCGAGGCTCGGCGGCTTCGCGCGGAGAAACCGTTTAGGAGCACCCCTCGGAATTTGGAAGCCTAACAAAGCATTCAAAAGACCAAAATTTGGAAGCCCCTTACCGAAAATTCCGGTACCCAGTTCCAGTTCCATCGACTCCCCCAAACCTTCTCCCGTCCGGAAAGCACACGAGCTTCCCCCGGATGTACCTCAGGAAAGCCAAGGAGTTCGGATCTGCCTATGGTCAAGGGCAAGAGGCGGCCGCCCGCTCCCAGAAGCGAATAGCCGCGAACGAGGCCTGGGGGCTCATGGTGTTGCTTTGGGTGCCTTTTTTTTGGGGGGGGTGCCCTCTTTGCGTGGGGTCCAGGGGCGGGGGGCTGACAACCATGGGAACCCTATTTCGAGAAGCACGCGCACACACACACATATTCGACTGTGGTGGTGATTCTCTGTGGTTTGGGCGTTGGTTACCTTTTCCATTTGGCTTCAAGGAAGGTTCCAATCCCCAACCCAATCCAAGACACAATAAGAAAGGGAAAGCTGATCAAGGGCACTGCGCGCTTGAAGAAGATGTAGGTCTTTTTGAGGTTCTAATGGCCCCCTGTCGCTGGTATTTCTTGAAGGGAAACCCAAAGGACACCAGCCACTTTGAGACATCGTGGACCATGTGCAGTGAATCCTGCAGGGACAGGGGCAAGCTATTCAATTCAAGCAGAATGGAAGGAATCGAAGAAAAAGGCGACATGCGTGTGTAAATGTGTACAGTGTATACATATACATATATGTATATACACGGGTGTGGCTCAAACTTGCAGAGCTAGGGTTACGATGGTTTTCGTCGTTGGTTCCATTTACCAGGGTGCCATTTTGGTACATTTCTTTGAGCAGCCATTCTTGAGCCATGACCTTCGCCTGACAAGATCCCTTTCGCACCTATGGGTGGTTTATCCCGGCAGAAAACAGGGTCTCATAGGGTTTGAAGGGGTTCCCTTGGTATCACAGCAAGTGACAACCGAACAATCCTGGTTTGGTGTCGTTGCTTCTTTTTCTTTGGGGACCGCCAAAATGGTGTTTGTCCTTCTATTTCCCCGTAAAACCGCCAACAAAAGGGGGTACCGTCAAAATAAGGCACACATCAGTTCCCGCCACCTTGGATCTCTGCCATGCGATCCCAGCTCCGTTGAAGCATCGCCATTTTACGCCAATATCAACATTCTACTCTGACTCTTGTGGTTTGGTCATCTTTTTCGAGGTTCGGAGCAACCCTCGGACTGTGAATAGGTTCCTTCGAGTAAGGTGAGGTGATTCTTATGTTCTCTATGTAAGTTATGCTCAGGGACCTTGTCGATTTGTTTTTGTTTTGGGTCTATTCCGTTTTGGTTGAGGGCCCCAATTCACTCGGGAAACACATCCCCGCCCCCAGGTGGAAACGCAGCTACATAGAAGCTATCTGCATATTTACATATGCATTGGGTGTATATGTCTGTATATACATATATATATATACTTGGTTGACGTTGGAAGGGAGCAAACTTTTAAATGTTTGCAGTTAAGTGGATTTGGATTTCAACCACTAAACCACAATGAGCAAAAATGGGAAAAATGCTTCCCATCAACAACCGTGCATATAGTTTCGAGCCAAGGGTACAACCTGGAGCGGCCTGTGAGCATGTCGTCCAGGAAGCGGAAGTACCTTGCGGCCGGGTTAGCAAAACCCAACACCCCGCTTGGCTTATGCTAGGTAACCAGATACCGTTCTTGAGCTTCAGTCTTTGAATGGTTTGTTTCCCTTCCCAATCACTCGTGCTCAAAGTCCACAGACCTAGGATTGCGCAGCTTCTTGTCTTTGTTTCCATTTGCCAAGGTGCCATCTCTGGTGTTCCATTGTTTGAGCAGCCACATTCGCACGGAGTTCAGAGGGGTTTCCTTTCGCCTCGGACATCCTTCGAGCCTTCAAGGCACAAGACGGATCAAACCTACATGGAAGGGAAAGGTCACGGAAGACTGTCTGGTGGGTTCTCTGTTCGCGGATGCACAAGAAACAAAATCATTACACAATCGTTGTCCCATGATCCGGAAATAGCTCCGGTTGAGTCACCCCAATCCAATATAGTATAGGCCCCAGTGGGTACACATAGGGATATGCCAACAGCAACCACTTAGATTTCAATCACTTAAATCTACCAACGTGGCATCCCAAGCAAAAGACACAAAAAGCAGAGTTACAAAGCAAGGGAAACCGCGGAAATCCAAATTGAACATGCAAACCGTTTCACGCCAAAGAGAAACCACCGGCAGGATCGGCAGGCGGGGGTTTTCGCGACATCGCTGAGACTGGCGCCCCTTGTCGCCCCACTCATCGCCCCATGTGTTGCGGAGGTGCCAGCACCTCGAATCCGGATTCGGCCTCCCTTATTTTTTGCGGGGGACCAGACAGGGGGGTCCGGCAAAGGGGGGGTTGTGGTGGACACTTGGGATCGACTTTGCAGCCTTCATTTTGGGGTATTGGTTGTTTAGGGTTCTTGGCTGCATTTTTTGCTCCAAGTGTCCATGGCAGCAGGGGGGAGGGGGGGGTTCCGAGGTCCTGAAAAAAAAAAGGAAAAAAAAAAGAAAAACGGAACACGCAGCACATGTCCAAATCCCATGTTGGCAAAAACAAAAAACGCGAGACGGTCTCGGGGTGCTTCAGCCTTGGATGACACCTTTCAGGGGTGTCCTAGCCGTTTTTTCGACCCAACAGGCGACTGAAGGATCAGTTTGGTTGAAACGCCTGGGATCCAGCGGGTTTCACAAGGCCACAAGGAAGCCAACCGTTTTGTGGATCTTGAGAAGCAACTGCCGGAGTTGAATTAAAGATCTAAACTGGGCTGCCCGTTTTCAGATCCCCCGCGAAAAGTGACTAGCTGTTAGTGGGTCAAATGGAAACTACCACTAAACACTAAAAGGATCTAAAAAAGCTAAGGAACCGGATGGCTGGGAGCCACCAAGTAAACCTGGTTCTGGTGTTTGCACTCAATTCTCCGCAAGCTTTGTGGTTTTGTTTCGCCAAGCATGGAGAAACCATAGGAGTTCTTGGTCGAACCAAGCCTCCCGGGCGAATCAAAGCGAAATTCCTGGGGCCCAGGGCTCGCCCTTGCTGGTCCTCCGCCGACTGCTGCCGCTGTTCTGCCTGACTGAACGCGGTGAAAGCGTTTGCCCAAAGCCAGGGGTCAAAAATCGCTACCTTGACACATACCCAGAAAATGTCTTCAAATGGAATATGAAATGGTTGGCGTCCCATAATTGTTTGTCTTCAGATGGAATATGACATGGTTGGCGTCCCAGAGATTTCATACCTCTATAAGGGTAGCTTCCAATTCCATTCTTTCAAGGGAACCGGATCTTTCTAGAAAACCGCAAAAACACATGGGGAAACAGCGATCGGTTTTCGAAAAGAACCATGGTTCAAAAGAATGGGGATCCAACCCGTAGAATACCCAGCAATTTGTCTTGAAGTGGAAGAAATGGTTGGCGTCCAAAAGGGCAGGGTACCGCACACAAAGACGTGGATTTGAGCCTTGCGCAAAGTACCTATGTGCCAAAGGGTCTCTATGGGACTTTTGCCACGCGGGCCCCGTTCAAGATCCGCGATCACCCACCTGAGTAACCTGACAGGTAGCCCGCGAAGAACTTTCAGCATGTGTCTATTGCATTCCATATATGTATCTATGTACTTAGAATGTCCTCTTAACAATATGGTGCGGCCATTGGCTTCTAGTCTGCAGAATGCATAAGCATAGACTTTCCATAATCCCATCATGTTGTCTAGTGCATTAAAAGTACATTCTAAACGTGTTTAGCTTAGATTGATTGTATTTCCGGCTCGGTTCCATATATTGTGTGACAAGCGAATTTGAAGCCTGGATTTAGAGCTGCTTGCAGGGGCAAGCATCCAATTCGGAGAAATTGCACAACGCTACTTGAAGCATGACAAGTACGTGCTCGGGGCACTGCCCTCGCTAGGAAATGACCACAGAGATATACCACCCTGCTGAAAAGAATAACACAACAATCAATGTCATTGGCAATTAATCATGTGCCACATGGTTGGCTACACCACCCTGCTGAAAAGAATAACATAACAATCAATGTCATTGGCAATGAATCATTTGCCACATAGTTGGCTATACTTCCACTGGTTTTTGGGTTGCATTTTCTGCCTAGCGATTGCCTCTGCTAAGTGCACGTGTCACCTGGTCTCAATTCATCACACCTGTGAGAAGTTCGAAAAGTAGGGCAACTACACCTGCGAAATAGCGCGAATGCAAGGAACGCCGCGGCAACTTCTCGGCATCCAATGCCAAGGGAAAGCGTTTGCATTGGAGAGATCAAATCCGACAACGCCGAAAATGCAAACGAGGGAGACCGACCAAAAACACCACACACTCACACAAAAGAAAAAAACACCTCCCCAAACAGAAGGTATTGGGCATGTACAACACATTCTTGTCAGGGCTTTGTTTTTGTTGCTTTTGTTTTTCTCGAGGGGTCTTGCTTGTTGGTTTCCTGGCAGAAGTATAAGCTTCTCAAGGGAGCGCGGTTCTGGCAAGACCGCAAAAGTAGGCAAGCGCAAAGAAGGGTCAGTCAGTTTGTACACAAAGGGAACCATGCTGATGCCTTCATGTTCAATTGCCCAAAAAACGCAGGGCTGGTGACAATGGTTTCTGATTGGAAAAGGGGGGATATCGCTTCCCAAAATTAAAATTTACAGCGAACAACCACAAAATTAATCTAGTATCCCATCCCCTTGTTCTAATTATTTGCCGCCAGAAACCCAGTGATTCAGTTTCCCTGCAAAGTAGGCAAGGACAAAATCCCCGAAAAAACAGAAAAGAAAGAAATTGAATCAAAGGGTTGCCTGTGGCTTGCCTCGCGCCGCGCCTCACCGGATCGTCGGAGCCCGGAATGGCGATGCGGTCCTGGTGATGCGAGCGAACCCCACGGAAGCGTTGCGAGCCCCGCGAGGCCGGTGGGTAAAAAGAGGAAAAACAAGTGACGACAAAAACAGGAGCCGCAATTTCTGCTGGTTGGCTGTTTCCAAGTTTTGGTGGGAAACCCACCAAGCAACGTGGGGAACCACCCATGAAACAGTGAAAGGAGAAGTCAGTAGGCGCTAACTTTCCGAGCCTCTTCGCAAGGAAAACTGGGTCTGTCAGGGCAAAATGCCGTGGCGGTTGTTTCTTTCTTGTTTCCAGTGTCCTTCAACCCCCAAAATCTCGTGTTCTCCAAAACCACCCTTTGATTTGGCACAGCCAAATGGCCATGGGTCAAAAGCCCGTACCCCCAGTGAACATTCTAATCCCCACTAACATAGACTAAAATGGGTGGTGCACCGAAAACCCCCACAATGGGATCCCAAAACGGTTTTGACCCACGGCCAAATGGCCTCAAGCGCAATGCCTATGGCCCCGGGATTCAAATCCCAAAAGGAAACCTGGCGCTCGGGAGGCAAGACCTGGTTTGACCTCGCTGAATGCATGGGCCAAAAGCAGTCAACTCCGTTACTATAGCATTGATTTGGTTCAATTATTAGTGTATTTTCGGGGGGGGGGGGGGTTCTTTTCGCGGACTAGGGTTCCTCATAGCGAGTAACAAGGCAGTTAGCATACTCAACTAACCAGAACAATTTGTGCACGTTTGGAGTTTTCCCAGGAAACGGACGGGCCAAATGAGGTACTGGAAACCATGGTCCTGTTCATCAGAGAAGAATGTGTGTGTGCTTGCTTAGCCACTTAAGGTAAAACTCCCCACTAGCCCGGTTACGAGCAAGGACGGCCCTTCGAATCGAACCGATTCAAGGGGGACCCGAAATATTTTCGCGGTTTGTACCAAAATAGGAATGAAGCCCCCAACACGGTTGGGTTCTGTTCTCTTAAAGAAACCCAAAAGGGTACCCCACAAAAACGCAGCCATTTCGACGTCTCGCTCGCGATTTGTTGGTTGGTTTCCTCCACGAGTCCGGAGGAGAAAACTTCCTGTACACTGCGCAAGGCCCGGGATTCACTGTGCGGGGCCAGCCCGAAATGCTGGTTACGTGGCCATGCTTTTGTTTGATTTGGGGAGGGTACTTTGAAACGTAGTTTTGTAGGGGATGCCTGGTTTGAGGCGCGCACACACACAGAGATATGAGCTTTCATTGGGAACCTCTGTTGGCGGACATTCAGCACCGCTGAAGGTTTTCGGCGTGTCTTTATTTGAGGGTGCCGATGTTGGGTTTCTATTAAAGGAAACGAGGAGACCAACTATGTTGCGAGGTGCCCCTATAGGGTTCTGAGACAAACCCATTTGCGGTACACGGAAAAGGTCACCTGAACAATGCCCATGAGTTGCCGGTCACGACGTTTTTCTTGCGAAACACCAAAAACAGATCTCGCAAGTCAGAAAAATCGTCGCCAATTCTTCGTGGTCTGACGAAACCATCTCCACCTCACGTCCTGAGTGGCGTCCCCAACTTCTTGACGACCAAATGGTCCAGACACCCAAGAAGTGACTACCTAGGTAGCCAAGTTGCGATCGCTTTTTTCAGTCACTGTTGCTGGTTCTTTGTGGTAAAGTACATGAAAAGAGCGATCACAACTGGCGATCCAGGTAAAGTCTGGAGGGCCCACAAAAAGAGGCCCAACTGTTTGACGACCATTTTTTTCGAGACACCCAACAGGTGACCAAAGTTCAGAAACCCAACAGGTGACCAAAGTTCAGAAACCCAAAAGGTGACCAAACTGTTTGACGACCAAATCCACTCCAAACACTCAGGAAGTGAGCCACTTAGGAGATAAACAGCCGGAAACTCTCCGGCCTGGCCAAGTCTGAACCCCGAAACGGAAGCGCTCGAAACAGTCTTGGGGCCCAAGGCGCCCAAGAAAAAAACGGAATCCGAACCAAAGCTTAGGCCTTTGGGCAGCCACCTGGACATCATTTCGTGGACCTTTCGGCGCTAGTGGTTGCAAACTGATCGCATGGACCATGGTCGAAAAAACTTAAGCGGGACCGTGTCTTCAAAGGCGCCCACAAGCGCGCGAGAGGCACGGTGTGCGACGCTCCTTGGCGCAGCCCTCCGTGCGTGTTTCGGATCTATCACCCGCCCTCTTTACAAATGTCGAAGACGACCAATGTCGGCATGGGTCAAAATATGTCAAAATGGAACCACATGCTTTCCTTGGTTCCATGTACCAGGGTCTCCTTTTGGGTCCCCATCTTTGACCCACAGCCATGTCCGGCCAGGTCAACGACAAGATCTTGCGAGTCGACTGCTGTTCACTGCGGCCAGGCACGGGCCCACCTAAGTAAAAGACCTGGCGAATTGCTCGTGTTTTCCTCCGAACTTGCCATACGATGATGAGGATTAAGGCCTGTCGTTGAACAGCGCTAAGGATGTTCAAGGGACCCCATTTGAGGCAACATAGGTGATGTTGCCACCCGGGCATCTCGGCAATTCCCGCGAACTCAAGAAAACAACACCCTCAACCTGAAATTGCGCCCCAAAACCCCAGTGACTTTTGGAAATGAGATGCTTATAAAGCTTCAAAAAAACGAGGCCCTCCTCAAACTCGACAACACCTTTCTCAAATGGTCCAGGGGGGTTTTGGCCGTGCACAGACCTCTGGCGCAGCCCTGCGGAGAATGATTCGGGCCAAACATCCGGTCCGCCCCTTCGGCCTGCCGCGGCTTCGGGCGGATTTAGACTCCGGTGCCCTGCGGCTACCCGAAGGCGACTTTCCAGATCCTTCGACCGAAAGGCGACAGAAGGCAGCAAGTTGCGCTGGATGCTCACAGCGGCAGCGCTGCTGGGCTCTCCCACCGGCAGTTCAAATTTGCGGAATGTCGGGCTCACAGAACATATATATATATACACATACACATGCGCACACAACATACTTTCACATGTAAACGCATACAAAGGCACATTATAGACACACAAACATCTACCTGTAACAAAATTGGAGCAGTCTTTCGCCGAAGTTTTTCCGATCGACACGGAAAACGGATCAAATGAGCACATGCTCAAAACTGCTCGGCGATTGCCCGCGCAACGCTTTCCCAACAGTTTAAATCCAGCTCAGAACAAGAAGATCGAGAGAAAAGCAACGGGGGAAAAAAACACGCCTCAAGAAAACCAAACACCAAAACTCAGATGAGAAGAGAGGAAAAGCGAAAACCCCACATAGGCCAATAGCCGGTTAACATTGGCCCCCTGCGTAGCCGAAGGCCTTGCCAGATCCTTCCAAAAATACCAGTCAAAACATGGCCCGAATCGGATGGAAACAACACAACGACAAGTAGATCTTCGTCTGCCTTCTGGGGTCATTTCGCGGAATGGCGACCTTCGCTGTTTCCAGACTGAACGACCAAGGCAATCCTGTAAAACTTGGCCTAAATCCAAAATCCGAAAACATGTTCAATGATTCTACCCAAAAGAGACTCACCAAAAAAAACCACACAAAAATGGGAATGCTGCGGGCACTTGCAAACTTGGTCTACCCAACCACTCCCTCAGCCCGCGAGCCGGGCAGCGACACCAGGCCACTTTTGTCCAACTCCGTCTTCATACGCAGACCCTCTGACAAAAAGGACAAAAATCACACACACACACACACACACACACTTAGACTCCAGATGGAGGGTTCTAATCTTTCGAGTACAACTGATGAGTCTCGAGTACAACTGATGAGTCTCCAGTACAACTGACAAGTCTCAAGTCGGATAAGTTTCGGCTGGCAGGTCACGTGGCTTCCCTGTAGTTACTTCAACAGGGACACACAGAAGCAACGGCGGTTCAGGGGGGGGACCAAAAGGACATTCAGAACAACACAACCATCTCGGCAGGTACGTCTGACTGATCAGGTCAGATATCAGCGCAGGTCACGACCCTCTTCGTTGGGTCACCGGTCGTGACTGCGGGTGACCCCCCTGCAGTGGAAAAAGTTATCGAATGGTGGCAGGGTTTTCTGCCACTCCGCACACACACGCCCCTCAGTGAGGGGCGAAAATCTTTTGTTCCAGCCGGAAGATCACGCAATTGGCTCATCAATTCTAACGTGTACCAAAATATCCACTGCGTCGGGGAGAGCGCGAAACTGCACGCTCCGCACGAGGCCGCTCAGAAGACGGGGACGAAAGATCTCCAAGATGAGCAAGACGTGTGCCGCCATAGAAGACAGGCGGAAGCTGCAAAGCCGTCGGGCGATCACCGTCAGAAATGGGAGGGGCATAGGTGAACATCTCTTCGACCCGGATGATGTCCGGATGTTGTACATCAGCAAGCGATGGATCAGGGCCATGATGGGTGGAGAAGGACTCCAAGCGAGACAGAATCCGTTGATAACCTTGATGTTGCCAGTCTCGAATTGTCCATGCTTGACTGGATTCACCAGTTCCGTCAACATGCTCAGTTGCCCGTTTCCACTCCCGAAACGAGTTCTCAGGTAGGGCGGGTGCTGCCTCATCCGGGTGCCACAGTTGAAGTTGACCCGGAGTGTAGATCCGCACCCACTCCTGGTCCTGCCAGACGGAGTATTCGAGCCAAGGGTGCTGCTCGTCAGTTCTGGCCGACGTTTGAGTCACATCATCTGTCCATGCTGAAGTAAAGGACAGGGCGTACCGCAGGCTCTGATCCAGCTGGCGAGGAAACAGTCACAATGCACAACCATGCACAACCGGTAAACACACAAGTAAGCAAGAGCAAAGGTGACACTCTTTCATGTCATGATCAAGATGCGTCGGTTTACACGTCACCTGGCTCGAAAATGGGCTGCGCCTTGTTGGTAAAGCTGCCTAATTGACCCGCAGGTGTATTTAGATCAGCGACCCCAATAGATTCGGGTGGTGCAACTCCACGCACATGTGCTGGATGGTGGGACGCGTGACGCGCGCGTTCTGACAGTTGCTGACAGATCCCAGCCTGAAGACGAGTAAGATCTTC